GAATTCAATTGATTGAAGGGTGAGTAGATTTTTATTTTTGCGTGGACTGTCCCTTTAAGCATCACTATATGATTAATTAGGGCTTTAAGCACTGAACAGTGTGACATACCGGCCCATGACAACTTGCCGTCCCGTTCAGAGCCTTGCATTGTGGGTCACAAGCCAAACACACATTATCTGACATGTACTCTCGAGGGTCTCTGAGAAAACATCACATGTAGAGAACAAGTCAACATCAGCAGACAATATTGTTTGGGTTATATATTTATATTAGGACTGCAGTTTTAAGTGTTAATTCTTTAATTGAGTTCTTGCTTTGACATGACTATTGAAACTCATATCTGACTCAAGAGTCACACCAAGATAAATGTAATTAATTAATACTATTTTTTAGATATATTAGCTATTTTTATATTTGTATTTTTATTATATTATTATGCTGGTAAATAAATAAACTACTTTATCCTTGTAAAATGTGACCAGATGATGAGTAAGAATGCTGAAAAGTCAGCTTTGAAAAGACAAATTTATTTCGCCCACGTTTCAAACTACATGGTCTTCATCAGGTCAAGTGAAAAGCCGTCAAATTAAAATTGTCTTTTGATAGCTAATAAGAGCTATTGTTTTGGACTTTTTCTATTGCGTTTGGCTTGATCGAGCACCTGCCTTTAAGAATTTTAGGATGTTTTTCTTTCTGAAATGTTGCGCTCTCACCCGTTCAGCAGGTTGCAGTGACTGACACAGCATCCCCTACGGCTGACGTGCTGACAGAACACACACATGGACGGCCCCGGACCCCAACAGCCTTCATCTCCACACATACTGTCACAGGTGCTGTTCTGCTGTACTGAAAAATAATGATGACTCGTCAAATTATGTTAAATTTTCAGACATATTTATATTCCTATTTAGACAACATTTTAACAGTTAAGAAATGCATATTTGTTACAATAGCCCAGATTTTTTTCCCCCATCACATCCTTCACACCACAACCTTTTTATTTTATTTTTATTTATTTGTTTTTATCCTCTTGGTATTATTATTATTCATTATATATATATATATAT